AGCGAAGATCCGTCCCCGTCGTTCGATACGTGTAAGTTGATATTCCTGATAATTGCTTGCACAGACCTCTCTCCCTCGATTATTAACAAAAAGACGGAGCGCGGGTCGGTGTTGCATCGGTCGCTGGAACGATCCAGATTTTCACGAACCGGTGTCCGTGACTCGGGCAGGAGCGGCCAGCCGCGATATCCCCGTCCATCTCCTCGGACAGATGAGAGCAGCAGCAAGATAAAAGGAGGATACGAGAGAAGCGTAAAAGCGTCGAGAGAGGAGAGAGAGAGAGAGAAAGGCCTTCGGCCTGCGGTCGTGGAGGGAAAGAGAGAGAGAGAGAGAGAGAGAGAGAGAGAGGCGGCCAGGGAGGGCTATCTCTCGCGTCGTCTAGACTCGGAGAGCCGTTCCTGGATTTGCTCCCCCGGGACCGTTGCCGAAGGGGGGAGCGGAGGAACAAGAGAGAATCTTGCGAGACAGTGAGACCACTGTTGGATCTGTTTCTCCCCACCAGTTGGCCCGGAGGATCTTAACGAATAAGATAACACGGCGCCAGGGAGCCATCCTCTCCATCCCTCTTTCTCTCGTCTTCGACGCCGCGCCGGTTTCGTTCGGACTCGGGTGTTCGAGGTACTCGAAGAAGAAACGGTCACCGACACCGCGTCGGTGATCCATCCCGGGCCTGTTCGGACGCCTCTCTCGCCGCGGCTACGCGGAATCTCTTGTCCCCCGGCCGCTTCTTGTTCGCGCCTCGAACGACGCCGACGATCCCGTCCAACGTGACTCGTCGACCGACTACCGGCCGCGGACTACCGGCCACCGGCTGCCGGGTTATCGAGAGCAGCTCGATCTTTACGACGTATTAATTGCCGCCGACCAAGTGGGTGGCTGAGGGTCGTCGGCTCGCCACCGACCGCGAATCGTCGGTGCCTCCTCGCGTCGAACGGAGGGCGGTGACAGCTGGATTACCGGCAACGAGGAGCGCGATTCTTTCAGGGGGGAGACGCGGTTCGACACGTTCAACTTTAAGCTAAATCTTAACGGGGCTCGCGAACCGCGTCGAGAAAGCGATCGTCGGAGGATCCACGATTTCGAACGCGAACGATCGGCGAAACGAAATCGGTTCGAGGGAACGACGATCGCGTCGCGTATTATCGGAATCGGTAAGGAACTAATTAACCGGTAGTCCGAAGTGACCGCGGCAGTCCGCGCGATCATAAATCATTCGCGGCCGATCTAATTAAAAAGGAGTTGAACCGGCGCCGCGCGGCGCGGCGCGGCGCGAGTTCGACTACTGGTTCTCCAGCGACGAACCTGCGCGCGCGAGGTGGCTGTCGCCGATAATTTATTGGCAGGTAATTAGCGATCGCGCGAACGATAATTGTCCGGTTTCGCAATCGTTCCGGAATAATAATCGGTCTCTCCCCGTCCCGCCCCGCGTCGCGACGTTGCGTAACACCGTGGCCGTCGATCCAGCGAAAATCGAAACGATAAATATCCGGCACGACGGGCCGGCACGGAAAACACGCGCGGCCCGCGGTGGGAGAAAGCGCCGAGAGATACGCCTATTAGCCGGAGGAACAAATGGGAATGCGATTAAACGTCTCTGTCGATCATCGCCGCGCGATTGAAATTATAATTCCCGGCGCGGTCGCGCCGATTCCTCTCCCGCTGAATAAATCGATCCCAGCTCCGCTCGAGTTCGCGCAATATTTATTTCGCTCCGACCCGGAACGCTCGGATCGAGGAACTCTTCGATCGCACCGAGAGCCTCCGCTCTCTGCTCTCTATCGTTCGAAATATTTTCTAGATCCCGATTACGATCGAAATTCGATTTCTCGCGAAAGAAAAGATCGATCGTCGATCGCTAGCGCCAGAAGTTCCGAACGTCGTCGGCGCTGCTTAAAACCGTCGTAGTCGCAATTCCCTCTTCGACGTATTTCGTATCGCTGCGCGTCGGCTGTCCACGTTGCGTTGTAATTTCTTTACAGAAACCACCAGCGATCGCGTTAGGCATAGATGTATCGGTATTATTATTGTACGCGTGCGTTCGAGCCTGTGCTCTTTGGAACGAGCAAACGAGCTAGAATGTAAAGAAGAAAAAAGATGCAACGCGAAAAGACCTCGTTCTCGACGCACCGTGACAACGATCGCGAGAACGATAAATTTCCCACGATTCGTCTCTCGCCGGAGAGCTCTCCGTCGGGGAACGATTCTCGAAACGATACGTTTCGGAAGCGACGGAGGAGAGTTTTCGAGCTGGAACCGGGTCTGCGGAAACGTGCGCGAGTCACCGGCGATCGGCAAGCTGCAACCCGTCGGGAATATTGTAAAATCTAATCTGCGCGAGCGGCGAGAGCGGCGAAACGGGCCGTCGGCGATAGCCGAATCGCGAGACAAAGAGTACGGTTATTAGATACACGGCCGTTCCCTACGTGTCTTACGATCGTCCTTATCGTTATCGCCATTAGTCACGGAGCCCGTTGTGCCGCGTTACGAGTATCGCCCGGCCGGGCCCGACTCGGCCAGCCCGTTATCGTTATCCGTTATCGCGGCGCGCTATCGGCGAAGTTCAAGCTTCGTGACGGCAGTGACAGGAGGTGGCTTTGGTGCCCCGAAGTCTGCCAATGTCGCCGATATATGTAAGTGAACGCGTTCGCGTTCACAGTGCCTCGCCTCTTCTCCTACATTTTTTCCTCTTTCCTCTTCTCCTCCTCCTCCTCCTCCTCCTCCTCCTTCTTCTTCTTCTTCTTCGTTCGGTTCGATTCCGTTCCTTTTTGTGCTTCTTCTCGGTATCGTCGCCGTTCTTTTTCCTTCTTTCGCGGACGACGTGTAATTCGCGCAATCGAGAAGCCGGATACGCCGATAGCGGAGCAACGCGAGCACAATGGGAACGTTGTTTACCGTCGCGTCGCGGCGATGAACTGTTTCGTTTCAATTGCCGGCTGTCCGATCGACGCCGCGCCGATCGCACGATCGTCCGGCAATTTTATCGACGGAAACGTCGCGTCGTCTCCGGCTTTTTTCTCGCCGCGAAACGGAAATCGGTGTTTCGGCGGCGGTCGATCTTCTCGCGATCTCGTCGTTCGCTGCGCGAATTTCGAGGACGCCGATGCTTCGAGTTTTATCTCGAAGTCTTCCAACGGATGATCGGCTCGAGAAAAGATCGCTCGATCGAAAGAAAAAATGATCGACGATCCTATCGCGGCAAGAAACAATGGCGATCGAAGACGCGGAGGCGATTACGGACGCCGAAGATCGCGAGATAAGAAAATCGGAGTTTCCAACGGATCGTTCGTCTTGCTGCAAATCGGTAATAGATAGCGCATAGCGTTACAGATAACGCGTAAGTAGATATTATGCGCTTCGGCGCCGAAGAATCCGCGTTCGATTCCGTCGGCGCGACACGACTTGCGATACAACTTGGGCTCGGCGCTGCGTCGGGCAGAGAGAACCGTGAAATTTGAAAATTGCGCGGATGTCCGGTTAAAATGCAAAGTCGATCGAGAAGGTTACGGACTCGAGAGCGACGATTGGGCGCGCTAAACCGCGATAGTTGTCGGAGCGAGAACGGTCGGCTCGGACCCTGTCGCCGAAATACGGCATCCGTCCTCGGTCGAATCCGTTCGGGTCGAGCCGGCTGGCCGCTTAGACGCGGAAGGGAGAAGCTGAATGTTTGCCCGGCATTATCGTGAGCTAGCAGAACACGAAGACCGGAGAAAGAGGGAACGAGAGGATCGGAAAAGCGGGGCTAGGGACGGAGGCGCGGAGAGATAGAGAGAGCGAGAGAGAGAGAGAGAGAGAGAGAGAGAGAGAGAGAGAGAGAGAGGAAAGTGATAACAGGTAGCCATTGCTATGGGTCTCCGAGCCGCTTGGAAACCAGTGATAGCGCTTCCCCGCAGGAGCGAGCATCTCGCTGCGGTTTCGTCTTACCCTCGACTCTTGAACGGTCTGTCGGAAAGCGGCCTACGCGAATCGAGCCCAGAGATCCGACCGGGATCCAGCAGGGATCTATCCGCGACGTCCGGGGATCTGCCTGGATCCGCGCGCTCCTCGAAACGAACCGTTCCTCTTCCGCGAAGGACGCGGAGAGCCGCGGTAACTCGTTGGTCGGACGCGTGCCAACGAGTTCGGTTCGGCAGAATCCGAGGCTAACGAATTCGATCTCGAGTCGAGCTCGATCGCCGAACGTTGCTCGAAGCGATAGCGAAGCTATCGGAGAGGTGGCTGAAGCGAGTCGGCGACTCTGGCAACCGTTGTCCCGAGCGACCGACTACCCGAGCCTAGAATCGGATCCGGTTCCGAAAGTTTAACGAAGCTTCGCCTATTATATCAGAAGTTGCGACCCGATCGTCGCAAAGACGGTGAAAGTGCAAAGTGTGTGTGTGCGGCGTGGCGCGGCGAGGAAACGAGGACGGGGCGCGTCTCGAACTGGAAATCGAACGTATCGCGGAAAGCGAGAGGCTCGTTTCGTTTCGTTCTGTAAAATAAAAGAAGAGTTCGACCCGCGGAACGGAAGCGATCTCGGCGATGGCGAAGCCAGCCGGCCGACCCGTTCCGATAGCCCGCGAACTCGCTTCGGGGAATCCGTTCGAGTATTCGTGGCACGAAAGAAAAGCATGATCGCTCGCTGTTATTTTCTGAAATGGAGCACGATTTGCATGGCCAGCGAACGATAGAGCACGGATTGCTTCTGTTATGGTTCGCGCGCTGTGCCGCGGCGTCCAGAACCGGCCAAGGTCTCTGCCCGTTCTACACCGAACTCGGTGGCTCTTTGTTATCGCGCGCAAACAATCGTCTACTCTTTCGACCTAGCCAAAACTGACTCGCGCGGAACCGTCGTCTTCGTGGAAAAGCGACGATTCCGAAAGCGGCTGGAAAACTTGGATCTTTCGATCTGCCAAGGTCCGCGAGACCTTCGACCGTCGGATCCAAAGACACCCAAAGGANTGATAACAGGTAGCCATTGCTATGGGTCTCCGAGCCGCTTGGAAACCAGTGATAGCGCTTCCCCGCAGGAGCGAGCATCTCGCTGCGGTTTCGTCTTACCCTCGACTCTTGAACGGTCTGTCGGAAAGCGGCCTACGCGAATCGAGCCCAGAGATCCGACCGGGATCCAGCAGGGATCTATCCGCGACGTCCGGGGATCTGCCTGGATCCGCGCGCTCCTCGAAACGAACCGTTCCTCTTCCGCGAAGGACGCGGAGAGCCGCGGTAACTCGTTGGTCGGACGCGTGCCAACGAGTTCGGTTCGGCAGAATCCGAGGCTAACGAATTCGATCTCGAGTCGAGCTCGATCGCCGAACGTTGCTCGAAGCGATAGCGAAGCTATCGGAGAGGTGGCTGAAGCGAGTCGGCGACTCTGGCAACCGTTGTCCCGAGCGACCGACTACCCGAGCCTAGAATCGGATCCGGTTCCGAAAGTTTAACGAAGCTTCGCCTATTATATCAGAAGTTGCGACCCGATCGTCGCAAAGACGGTGAAAGTGCAAAGTGTGTGTGTGCGGCGTGGCGCGGCGAGGAAACGAGGACGGGGCGCGTCTCGAACTGGAAATCGAACGTATCGCGGAAAGCGAGAGGCTCGTTTCGTTTCGTTCTGTAAAATAAAAGAAGAGTTCGACCCGCGGAACGGAAGCGATCTCGGCGATGGCGAAGCCAGCCGGCCGACCCGTTCCGATAGCCCGCGAACTCGCTTCGGGGAATCCGTTCGAGTATTCGTGGCACGAAAGAAAAGCATGATCGCTCGCTGTTATTTTCTGAAATGGAGCACGATTTGCATGGCCAGCGAACGATAGAGCACGGATTGCTTCTGTTATGGTTCGCGCGCTGTGCCGCGGCGTCCAGAACCGGCCAAGGTCTCTGCCCGTTCTACACCGAACTCGGTGGCTCTTTGTTATCGCGCGCAAACAATCGTCTACTCTTTCGACCTAGCCAAAACTGACTCGCGCGGAACCGTCGTCTTCGTGGAAAAGCGACGATTCCGAAAGCGGCTGGAAAACTTGGATCTTTCGATCTGCCAAGGTCCGCGAGACCTTCGACCGTCGGATCCAAAGACACCCAAAGGAAGAATAGAGGAAGGAGAGAAGCGCGCGTCGGATCGGTTGTTGCGAGCGCGGCCGCGAGAAATTTCGGGGCGAGAAAGATCGGCGCGGCGGTCCCGGGTTTTCGGACTCGTCGCGCGTGTGCAGGATCGATAAGATGCCGATCGCGCCGGCTTATCGGCCGCTGGCCCGATAAGAGTCGGCCCCCGGAGAGCTGTCGGCGCTGTCGGAGCTGCCGGGGCTGTCGGAGTTGTCGGAGCTGGCGGAGCGAGCGCGGGCCGACCGCGATACGCGGATTATCCGCACGGCTCGTTTATTCCCGCGTTCGCCGTTGCAACGACAACGACAACGACAACGACAACGACAACGACGGCAATCGACCTATCGAGCCGCCCGGTCGCCCCTGCTGGCTGCTTCCCGCTCGAAATTAGGATCGTTGCTGCCCTACCTCGACCCGGGACAAAGGGTCGACTGCTCCGGGCAGTGCCGGGGACTACTCGGGAACAAGTAGATCGGGACTACTCCAACCAAAAGGTCGGAGCGCGTGGTCGTTGGTCACGCCCTGCGGAGCTGCGACGAGCGGACGAGCATCGGTTATCGGTTCGAGAACGCCGCGTGCCATCTTCTTAGGCGCCTCGCCTCGCTTCGCCTCGTCTGGAAACTATCGAGACCGTTTGCTCGCGAGTGCGGTGAATTTCAACGTTTCCGGGAGTCGAACTCTCGGTCGCCGGTGTCGGAAGGAGATCCGATTGGTTCGAGGGCGATGCGCGCGACTGGATTGGACTTGCGAAAGAAACCGTGCGCGGGCTGGAATCCTAATTGCCGATCCTAGCATCTCGGAAGATCGAAGATAAACGAGAGATCGGAGACCCGGCACTGTCGCCGAAAGAAGAAACAAAAGAACAGCGGATCGACGAAAGATCGACGATCGACCGGTTCGGTCGCGGGAACGCTCGCGGAGCAACACCGGGGGCAAATTGCATTTCTAACGCCGCGCCTCCGCCAATTAGAATTGCCCCGCGATGGATCGCGTCACGCGGAGATACTTAATGAATATTGATCGATGAGATCGAGATAAGGATAACGCGCGATGGAAGTGTACGAGGGTATCGCGTAATTTGTCGGATCCTAACGAGACGGACTCGCGCTGCGATCGATCGAAGTAAACGGAGCGAGCCGAGAAAAAGATAGAAAGATAAAGGCGATAAAAAGATTTTAGCTTCTCGATCGATCGCGCCGGAACGAGAGAACGGATTATTGCAGCGATCGATCGAGACCGTTATCGTGGATCTGGAGAGGGTGCGAACGATCCGGAGACGAGCTTTCGGGATTTATCCGGCACGGATACGTATAAACGTGGAAACGTGGATCGTGGATCGTGGTTCGTGGATAGTGGATCGTGAATCGTGAATCGTGAATCGATCGAGAAATCGATGCGGTCGTGGTGCAGCCGACGCGGCTCGATCGAAGCGGATCGTAATCGGGCCCCGCGATCGCGATCGCAATCGCAATCGCAATCGCAGTCGCGATCGACGATACCGCCCGCCGCGGAGCTCGTGACGATAACGTGACGCTGCTATCTCGATCTCCCGAACGTGATCGATTCGATCGACGCGCCGGATCGGGGCCACCTTGAAAACCGCGAGCGTGTCCAGATTGACGGACCCGAAATCCGCTGGCGCACGCTGCGAAATCGAAGCGGAGCGAAGCGCAGGGCGGACAGTCCGACGAAAATACGATGTCGCGCGTTGCGCGTCGCGTGTCGCCGATTCGGCCGATTCGCGCGACTCCGGTTCGCGGAAACCATCGGATTCGACGAGCGAACAGGAGTCACGATTGAGCCCGAACAGAGCCGGACGCGATGAGCATACTTCTGTGGAGACAGCGCAGGGCTAGCCAGCTCAGAGCGGAAACCACCCTCCCGCTGACAAGTAAGTCCGCGTTGTTCCTGGCAAACCGTCTCGTTTTTAGGTTCGAAACGAATTCTTTCGAAGAAGGACGAGTCTCTTGTTTTCAACGTTTGCTCGTTCTCGTTCGCGAGCAAAAGCGTGCAAATTATTTGTACAGCCCAAAGGGCTGTTGTCAATGTTTTCGTAGCCTAGAGGGAGAGCAGATTTTTCGACGGTATCGCGCCGAGCGTTTAGTTCGAGTCGATCGACGAACAAAATGCCAGCTCGAAACAAGAAGTTCTTTCGATTGCGTCGTCGATCGATTATCTCGGTATCGCTCATCCCGCCACTATCTCGTGTAAACTTCGAAATTCCCCACTTACGCGCGATTATACCACGTTACCGTCGAGCGCGACGCCTTTCGGAATTGGAAAATATCCGACGAACGCGAAGCCGCGCGGCGTATGGCGAAGATAGCCGAAGCCCCTCGACTTTGTTCCCTGCTCTGCGATTTACGGAAACGCTAATTAATTAAGCATTATCCGCGACGTTGTCCCTTCTACGGGATCGAGAAGTTTCGGGCACCGATAACGCCGACATCGAGCTCGAAATTATGCGCGTAAAACCCGGTTAACGCGCCCGCAGAATTTCAAGATCTGCAAAACGTTTCCACCGATCGACGAATCGATGGGATTCGCGGATCGAGCAACGCGAAATCTTTGTTCGAGCGATTTCAAACCGAGCAAAGTATGTTCGCAAAGTCGTGGCCGCGTTATTCGTATAAAAATGATTCCTCGATCGCCGAAACGAAGGAAATTCGTAGATCGAGAGGAACGGGTACGGAGGGGAGGATTTCGTGGGAACGAATCGGGAAAGAGAGAGGATCCGTTCGCGATCGCTACGCTATTGCTCGTTCGCCGGTTCGACGAGGCTGATCGAAAGCAGGCGAACGGAGAGAAAAAGAGCGGGTTTCGTCGAACGTTAGCCGGTCGCGGCCTCGGAGCGTTAATGGGAGGAGTTCATTAAGATCGCGCGATTACCGGCTTATCGCAGCTAAGCGAGCCTCGTTACTTTGCCGTGACGTCACTTCCTCCCTGTGTCGCCGCCGCGGTGCGGCGCGGCGTCCGCGCGCAGACCGTAGACCGTCGAGCGTGGAGCGTCGCGACGCCTCGCGCGCGTTCCCTCTTTTCGTCCGTATTTCCAGCTTTCCGCTCGCCGCCGTTGCTCCTCGAATTAGCATCGTTTTCTCTTCCTCGTCGAACGCGATCGATTCAGAATTTATACCAATTTCGAACAAACGACACGGCCGAATAAGTGGAAGGGAGAGAGAGATAAGCGAGATTCGACGCTGCTGCGACGAGTGATCGAACGGATTCGTCGGAACGCCGGACGCGTGCCGATATAATTGTAAGTTACAGGAATCGACTGTAACCCTTTCGATACAACGCGGAGCGAATCTATCGCTTCGCCGAAGGGTCGACGATCGAGTGGGTGAAACCGAAACGAGAATAGACGATTCGAAATCGATGACCATCGAGACAAATAAACGGAGGAGGAGACAAAGTCCGAAAGATGATAACCCGCGATGGGGCCGCGATATCGATCGATGACCGGATCGATGACATCTAACCTACTCGTACATCTAATCGCGGTGTAGACGACTTTGCCGAGCTTTATCGTTCCTCGAGAGATCGTTTTTTCCGATGGCATCGCGATAACGGTGCCAACGGTTGTAAAAAAAAAAACGATGGAAGATTCGTATCGGCATTCGACGTCTCTATTTTGTATCTGCTCGAGCGATCGACGATCGCGGCGAGATAAATCGATGGAGCTTGGAATCGAAGAGTTCGACGAGACGCGGGGGTTGAATATTTTTGCTCTGCGAACGGGTCGACGTAAAAATCGCGCGACGATCGAAAGGGCCCGATCGCGATCGCGATCGCTGCTCGCGAGTCCCATTGCCTGCGATCGCATGGTCCCGGTGCGAGCGTCGCGCGTCGCGCGTCGCCGTCGGTGCTTCGGTGCTCGAAGCCGATGGTCGCCGCGATTTCGAGGACGAGGGAAGAGGAGGCCGAGGGAAGAAGAACGAGGTCGGAAGGAGGGAAGAACGGAGACGATGAAGGAGGAGGTGGCGCGGATGGTTCCACGAAAGGCAAGAACGAAATAAACGATAAGAGGGACGCCGGGTTAACCAACAAGCAAATTAACACGTGGGAGGGTCCGATCGGCAAATGAGATAATTGTGCAACGAGGGGCCCCTGGGGGCTTTCTCCTTTCTCTCTCCCTCGTCCTCTCCCTCTACCTCGACCTCTCCCTCTCTCCGGCACGCATACTCGCACATGCCGATCGACTCTCTCTCTCTCTCTCTCTCTTTCTCTTTCTCTCCCTGTTTCCCTTCGCGCGCGTTGCCCGGATCGTTTCTGGACGACTCGATGCTCCCTTCGTTCATCTCCTTGCACGAGGTTCGCCATCCACGAGACGATCTTCGGACAGACGGAAAGACGGACGGAGAGAAAGAGAGAGAGATAGAGAGGCGTGTTACCGATGGACGAGACCCGTCGATGGATCGATCTATCGATCCCCGCGCTCTCCACGGGCCCCTCTTTACCCTCTTTACCGTCTTTACCAGCCCCCCTCCCTTCGCGCACCTTGCCGCCATTGAGATTATAGGCGAGCACCCCGACAGCCACGGGCTTCCAATACTTTGTAAGTTTATTTGCGATCCTGCTGTTCGTATCTTTATTTATGAAATCCTGACCGGTGGTACTCGTGGCCGACGCGCGCGCCCCGTTCTCTCCTTCTTCCGCTTTTTGTTTCTCCGGCTCGTTTCTTCCATCTCGGTCTCGCTCGCCGATACGCTCTCGTTCGGGCTACCAAATTAATCGCGTCGGCGCTCGCCGATCGACGCTGCCGCGGCGGAATCCTCTCGCGATTCGATTTTTTCGTATTTTATACGCGAAACGTAAAATTTACCCGGAATTATTGTTCTCGTAATTCTCCTCGGAACGTCTATCGTTTCAGAACGATTTGTCAAGCAAGACCGCTTTCCGCGCGTGAAAATAACCCGACAAAATGTATTATACCGAAACAGGCTCCGAGCGCCGAACGGTAGAGCCGATTTCCCCTAACTTTCGTCTCGGAGTTCGATTAATAATTATTACCGAATCTAGAAGGAGGGTTGGCAGAACGGAGCGGGACGGCGCCGCGAAAGAAGTCCGATAAACCGTGCCGATATCGCCGTTCCAAACATTTGCCCCGCGATAAGATCCCGTATCTCCTGAGAAAGCACGGTTTTTATGCTCGAGCACGTTCTCCGTGTCCGTTTCTCCGCGAAAGCACCTACCACCGACGCGCGGCGAGGCGAGGCGACGCGAGGCGAGGCGAGAGAGAGAGAGAGAGAGAGAGAGAGAGAGAGAGAGAGAGAGAAATATCGTGGCGCGAGGCGCGCGGGGAACCGCGTCTGGCATGAGCCCACGGTGTTGCTGTAGTACCGGCTTCAGATAGAGATAGCTATTTTTAATGGAAGTTCCTTCGAGTGCTCGAGTGCCGATAGCCGACCGCCTATCTGCCGGCTGATATTTTTAATATCGGAAACGGCCAGATGGGGTGGCGGAGGAGAGAGGCTCGGCAGAGCAGATAAGTCTCTCTCCCGGCCGTAGAGCCAGCGATAGCGGGTCGGATCCATGCCCGGTGTCTATCTCTTTTCCAT